TATTCTCGTAGTATTTCGACTTTATTCTCGAAATATTACGACTTTTATCTCGTAATCTTAGATTTAAAAAAACAACAACATTTTAACGTGGCTCTAAAATGCCGTTGTACTACCTGACTATTTTAGAGCTTAACAAAACTAGAAACATTTCTATGCATTATAAAAATTCCATGACTTTTTATAAATTTTTATTTATATGACATTTTCAGAACTAGAATTCAAACTTTTAAAATTTCTAATATATCTAGATTTTTTAAAGCTTGTTTTGTCTTTATTTTAAATCATCTTGTAACCCTCATGGAAGTTTGCTGAGGCCCTTTAGTGGCTCCCAGCCCCCTGGTTGGAACCACAGCTGTAATACCTACTGTTTTCAGAGCAGCACATTCTTAATAAAACAGTAATAATCTGAATTAAAGGTACTTCTAACTACACAGCAAAATCTCCAGAGTTAAATCAACTCTGCTCAGAGTACATATTGTCCCAATCTACAGTGTAAAAGTGTTAAAGTAACACTGAAGCAGAGTTACCACTGTTGAGGATTATGTGATACGTTTTCATGTCTAAAAGCCTGAGCAGCAGTTGTTCATCTTCAATATTGTTAACAGCAGGTTTTCTTTACTAATGCTCACTCATCAATTAATTAATTGCTTAATTATCCCATTATCTTTAACTCAGCTTCAGTGTTACTTTAACACTCTGTAGATTGGGACAATATGCACTCTGAGCAGAGTTGATTTAACTCTGGGGATTTTGCTGTGATAGAAGTAACAAAATTGGTATTTTATTTTAAATAACACTGATGTGACCTATACAGAAATTCAGTTTGACTCCCCTAGGTTAGGCTAAACTGTTTTTTAAATGAAAGGCACCAATATTTATTGGGCTCTAATTAGATATAAATATCTGCAAATGCCTGATTTTTGAATACTACTTATCTTAAAAGAGAAGAGCTGTTAGAGAAAGGTTCTATATAATTGAATTGCACATTGATGTGATTGTTGTGTTGTAGTTTCAGGAGACAGTTCAACTTATGAATTTTCACATGAGCATCCGAAAGACCAGATCAGACTGGTTCTGCTGGGAAAAACTGGATCTGGGAAAAGTGCCACTGCAAACACCATCATCGGCAGAAACATGTTTGAATCTTCAGTCAGTTCAAGCTCTCAGACTAAACAGTGTCAGTCAGAAACTACAGTGAGGAAGGGTAAAAAGATCTCAGTCATCGACACACCTGGACTTTATGATACTGAACTCAGTAATAAGGAAATAATGAAAGAAATAGTTAAATGCATAACATTCGCCTCTCCAGGACCACATGCTTTTATTTTTGTGATTAAAGTGGATCGATTTACTGAGGAGGAGAAAAATACAGTAAAGGAGCTCAAAGAAGTGTTTGGAGAACAGATGGAAAAATACACTGTAGTCCTCTTCACTCACAAAAATCAGTTAGAGAAGAAAAATACAACCATTGAGCAGTTTCTAGAAAATGGTAATCCAGATCTGAAAGAGTTTGTAGACAGTTGTGGAAATCGATTCTTCTGTCTGGACAATGAGTCTGCTAGTTTCTCACAGTTCAAAGATCTGATCAGTAAAATAGAGAAGATGGTGACAGAAAACGGAGGGACACACTTCACCAATGACATGTTTAAAGAAACAGAGAAAGACATTCAGGAGATTCAGAAGCGGAAACTGGATGAAAAAGTGGAGCGGTTCAAACAGGAGAACAAACAAGTCACTCAATCAGAATGGCAGAAAATATACTGGAGTTTAGTAGAGGAGACAAAACATGAAGCGCAGCAATCTTTTTTGGAACGTTTTTATGAAGTTCTTGAATTGCCTTTTGTACAGAGTACTGAAGAGGAAAAGAGTGCAATCGAGGAGGCACAGAGCAAAGGAATCAGTCGTGGAAAGGCTATTAGACTTGCAATCAGAGCCTCAAGGAAACTAGCAGGTCAGAAAATGTGTAGCATTCAGTGAGTCATTTAATAATGATCAGACAAATGAGCCCTTGACAGTAAGACTACTGACAATCTCCTTCTACTGAACTCAAAACATTTGTTTTTGTGACTAATGAATTACTTTCTTGTTGATTATATCGAGACCATCTTTGAAATGAAAGCTGAAAGTCAATGCATCTTTATTGGCATCTTTTGCTTATAGAAGCTATGTGTCACAATCTGTGATGTCATGCACTAGTCTCCGCAATACAGCAATGCACTGCATGAACGGCAAGTGATATTGAACAACTGTAAGAATTGTGTGGCATTAATCTGGAAGAATGAATAAATCTATTATTCTCACTCAGTCACGGCTGTGTATTCACATGATGCTTTACTAATCTGTTTGTACACTATGAATATGGCTGACCCTGTGACAAATTCATTGTGATGTTCTTTATTTGAAAGTCACTTTGTATAAAAGCATCTACTCAGTGCATGAATGTAAATCTGCTCAAACAATGCTTGTAAATCTGCTGCTGAAGTGAATCAATCATCTGAAACAACTTCAATTTGAGATGATTCAATTCATAGAGTCTTTATCAATGTGATCATGTGATTGTTATTATATCTGTACAACATCAACCGGAGATCATTATTGACGGAATAAAGTTTATTGAACAAACCCTCGTGTTTCTCTGCTTATGCCTGGTGTCTTTTTGTTCAGTATTATGTGATTCTCGTCTGTATTCAGTGTTTTCAGCTCCAGCTCATGTGGTTCATGTAAATTCACAGTTCATTGATTTTCTACTCATTCCTACAAAGCAAAAACTTTATTAGGCCCTACTATCATTTGTCAGAAATATGCAGGAATCAAGTGCCTCCTCTACACTTAACAAGATGATACAACTGTAACGGAGAGAAACATTTTCATTACATATAAGCATGAGCCCCGTCAGACTGGTCGTGGCGGCGGTGTTGCAACAATATATAGTGATATTCTCAATGTTACTCAGAAGACAGGATACAGGTTTAACTCATTCGAAATACTAATGCTTAATGTTACACTGTCAGATATGCAAAAGAAATCTATCGTATCTCTTGCTCTGGCTACTGTGTATAGACCAACAGGGCCATATACAGATTTCCTAAAAGAATTTGCAGATTTCCTCTCAGACCTATTGGTTACTGTTGATAAAGCGCTAATTGTCGGAGATTTTAACATTCACGTTGATAATACAAATGATGCATTAGCAAAACGTCACCGGGCCCACTCATCGTTTTAATCATACGCTAGATTTAATTATATCGCATGGAATTGATCTTACTGATATAGATATCGTACCTCAAAGTGATGATGTTACTGACCATTTCCTTGCATCGTGCATGCTGCGTATTACTGATATTAACTACATGGCTCCGCGTTATCGTCAGGGCAGAACTATTGTTCCAGCCACCAAAGACAGATTCACAAATAAACTGCCTGATTTATCTCAACTGCTCTGTGTACCAATAAGTACACATGAACTAGACGAAATGACTAGCAACATGGGCACTATCTTCTCTAATACATTAGAAGCTGTTGCCCCCATCAAATTGAAAAAGGTTAGAGAAAAACGTACTGCGCCATGGTACAACAGTAACACCCATTCTCTCAAGAAAAAAACTCGTAGTCTTGAGCGCAAATGGAGAAAAACTAACTTGGAAGTTTTTAGAATTGCGTGGAAAAACAGTATGTCCAGCTATAGACAGGCTCTAAAAGCTGCCAGGGCCGAGCATATCCACAAACTCATAGAAAATAACCAAAACAATCCAAGGTTTTTATTTAGCACAGTGGCTAGACTAACAAATAACCAGACGCCACCCGATCTAAATATTCCCTCACAGTTTAATAGTAATGACTTTATGAATTTCTTCACTGATAAAATAGATAACATCAGAAATACAATAACAAATGTAGATTCTACAGCGTATAATACTTCAGCTTCATTCATCGCACCAAAAGATAAACTGCAGTGCTTTACAACTATAGGACAGGAAGAGCTAAATAAACTTATCACTGCATCTAAACCAACAACATGCCTGTTAGATCCTGTACCCACTAAATTACTGAAAGAGTTGTTACCTGTAGCAGAAGAACCGCTTCTCAATATTATTAACTCGTCGTTGTCTTTAGGTCACGTCCCAAAACCATTCAAGCTGGCGGTTATTAAGCCTCTTATTAAGAAACCACAACTAGATCCTAGTGAACTGGCAAATTACAGACCCATCTCAAATCTTCCTTTTATGTCAAAAATTTTAGAAAAAGTTGTGTCTGCACAATTGCGCTCCTTCCTGCAAAAAAATGATCTCTATGAAGAATTTCAGTCAGGTTTCAGGCCCCACCATAGCACAGAAACTGCACTTGTTAAAATTACAAATGACTTGCTTCTTGCGTCAGACCAAGGCTGTATCTCATTGCTAGTTTTACTTGATCTTAGTGCTGCGTTCGACACTATAGATCATGACATACTCATAGATCGATTACAAAACTATACAGGTATTCAAGGGCAGGCTTTAAGATGGTTTAGATCCTACCTGTCCGATCGCTACCACCTTGTTCATTTAAATGGGGAGTCATCTCAATTATCACCAGTAAAATATGGAGTGCCACAAGGATCTGTCCTAGGTCCTCTGCTATTTTCGATATACATGTTGCCCCTTGGTAATATTATTAGAAAATACGGGATTAGCTTCCACTGTTATGCAGATGATACTCAACTATATATCTCAACAAGACCAGATGAAACTTCTAAATTATCTAAGCTAACAGAATGTGTTAAAAATGTAAAAGATTGGATGACCAATAATTTTCTCCTATTAAACTCGGATAAGACAGAGATATTACTTATTGGACCAAAAGACAGTACACAGAATCTCGTGGATTACAATTTGCAACTAGACGGATGTACAGTTACTTCCTCTACAGTCAAAAATCTGGGTGTTATATTAGATAGCAACTTGTCTTTTGAAAATCATATTTCCCATGTTACAAAAACAGCATTCTTCCATCTTAGAAACATTGCCAAACTACGAAATATGTTACCTGTTTCTGATGCAGAAAAGCTAGTTCATGCATTCATGACCTCTAGACTGGACTATTGTAATGCACTGCTAGGTGGTTGTCCTGCATCCTCAATAAACAAGCTACAGGTAGTCCAAAATGCAGCGGCTAGAGTCCTTACCAGGTCAAGAAAATATGATCATATTACCCCAATTTTACAGTCTCTGCACTGGCTACCTATTAAGTTCCGTATCAGTTACAAAATATTATTACTTGCCTATAAGGCCCTTAATGGGCTAGCTCCTGCGTACCTAACTAGTCTTCTACCACGCTACAATCCATCACGCTCCCTAAGGTCGCAAAACTCTGGACTTTTGGTAGTACCTAGGATAGCAAAGTCCACTAAAGGAGGTAGAGCTTTTTCGCATTTGGCTCCCAAACTCTGGAATAGCCTTCCTGATAACGTTCGGGGTTCAGACACACTCTCTCTGTTTAAATCTAGATTAAAGACACATCTCTTTGGCCAAGCATTCAAATAATGCATATCATAATCTTGTACTGCAGTTATATCTGATCAAATGCACATTATTATTCTTTAGTTTGGGTTAAACAAATAAATTTTGCTTGGTTGGAACAGCAGCTACGCTAATTATGTCCCTATTTGTTTCTCTGTTTTTGCCACAGGATTGACATCCCGTGGTAACTAGGATTTACACAAGCTTCAGTCTGGATCCAGAACACCTGAGAAGAGATGATGCCAACCCCTCAGAGGACCTCAGATGATGCCAACCCTGAAACAACCCACCAGATCCAGTCTGTATCCAGATCAGATGGTCACTGCAGTCACCCGGATCCAGTACGTATTCAGACCAGATGGTGGATCAGCACCTAGAGAGGACCTCTACAGCCCTGAAAGACAGCGGAGACCAGGACAACTAGATGAACACCAGATACAGATGTTATTCCCCTGTAAAGACCTTGTCTCAGACGACCACCGGGACAAGACCACAGGAACCAGATGAGTCTTCTGCACAATGTGACTTTGCTGCAGCCTGAAATTGAACTGCTGGTTTGGTCTGGCCAGAGGAGAACTGGCCCCCCGACTGAGCCTGGTTTCTCCCAAGGTTTTTTCTCCATTCTGTCACCGATGGAGTTTTGGTTCCTTGCCGCTGTCGCCTCTGGCTTGCTTAGTTGGGGACACTTCATTTCCAGCGATATTGTTGACTTGATTGCAAATGATTGCAAAGATACTATTTAAACTGAACTGAGCTGAATGAAGACATCACTGAATTCAATGATGAACTGTCTTTAACTGGAAAATTAGTGTTTACTATTGTCATTTTGCATTATTGACACACTATTTTCCTAATTAATGCTGTTCAGTTGCTTTGACACAATCTGTATTGTTAAAAGCGCTATATAAATAAAGGTGACTTGACTTGACTTGATATAACCAAAAACAACGTCTGAAGAGTAGACTTCTGTTGAGTTGATATTTTCTGCAGCAATGTGTTTTAATACAAATATGTTGATTTTATTGATAATATAAATGATTGGGTCTCATGAAACACGAGAAGAACCATTTTTTGTGTAAATCGTTCGTAAAGCCTTTCTGACGTAAACTTTCGAATTCATGAAAATGTTCGTATTTTCAAAATGTTAATTGGTTCGAAAGAAATGTACACCTGCTCCCTACCACATGTAAATGGTGCGTAAAACGTTCTGTGTCTTTTTGGCAAACTGATGACACTGAATTTTGATGCACTGCAATAATAATTACAAGTTCATTTGCCCTTGCCCTCTTTTAGAATATATATATATATTTTGTAGCTGAGTTGATAACTGTAAAACGCAGCACTCGTCACTGTCACTATTTACCCAGCCGTCCAATCAATGGAAGAGGGGCGGGACAAATAGTTCAACCATACTAATAAGCAAAAATGACTTTACATAAACATAACATTTGTGTTTCTTTTTCTTTTTATTGCTGAAGAGTG